CAAAAACACTCCTCGTGTTCCAGATGCAGTCGGCTCTAAACGCTCTGGGCCGAGTACACCCTGCTTCTTGACAGGACTTGCTAGCTCAGCCGCCGCAGCCTTCGGGCTCCCCGCAGCTGACAGATGGAAACTGGTTTGCCAGTACAGGTGGAGAAAACTTCCACCTATTTGTATTCCCTTACAAAAATGCAGGGGAAGAGGGTAGTTCTTGTCTTTACACACGTGCAACCCACAAGCTCTGTGAGCAGAGGAATTTTCAGTCTTCATCTTGCACTGCACGGTGACAAGGGTGAACGCAGGCAGGGAAAGGCAGAGAGCTGCTTTTACTTGTTATGTATTATTTATGTTGATGTGCTTAGAAGCTGCAGTGGGAATTAGGCAGTGTTTGAGATGAGTCAGGACGGTACAGAGTCTTCTCTAGAAAGTTTGTTTAGACTGAAAACGGGAGGCAAAGAAAGTGGAAAATGGGTGGGTTTTTAGTCCTCTATTAAAAGACTATGAAAAAACAAGCGACCTGGTGAAGGCTGCACAGGAGCTGCTGGGATAAAAGTGCCAGGCAGGGTCCTAAAACAGAAGATTGTATTATATTGTTCTCTAAGCTATTAAGTTGTAATGGATTAGTCTCACTTGCAAAAGATTTGAGAGAAGGCCATCTCCTTCTCAGTAATGCAATATTTAATTTTTAGTTCTTATTTGCATTCCTCAAGAGTGCAGACTAGTCTGCTGTTATTAGAGGAGTGGGTTTGCCTTGATGCTTCATATATTGCCTTAATGTTAAATGCAGCAAGGTTTTCTGTAATAGATTTGTGTTGTCTGCCTAAAACCCTGTTAAATTCTGGATTTTTTTTCTGCCAAAGCTATACCTTTTATCAAACATAAATAAACCTTTAAGTGTTCTGTGAGATGACTTGTAATTTCATTATAAAATATACGGGTCAAATGAAGTTGGATTGGATAGTACCTTCAAATATAGTTTTGTAAGTGTTTGATACTTTCTAGTTTCTTAAAAGAACAAGAAATGGCAAATGATATCTTTTTTCTTTTTCTGTAAAGGTTGATCCGTTATTTTTAAATTACATATAACAGTAACTTTATACTGCTTTACAGTGTCAGAAAGGAACATGAGTGTAAATGTGAATCTGCTACTGAAATTGGATGATGTGCCTAGTGAAGAGCTGAATAAAGGGGTTAGAGTCTACCAAAGGAAACATAGCCATTTGGTATATGTATATCGTTGCCATTTACATTAAACTCTATAATCTCTAACTGGAATGGCAGATCTGAGGGCTGCTGTGCAGTAAAATTCAGATCCCAGCCTTTATTCTAAATTCATGGTTGAAAATAATAAAAAAATCATTTCTCCTTAGAAAGAAGTACCAAGAATTCCACTCTCCCAACCCCCATATACTGTAAATTCTTTTTATTGTGGGAGGGAAAGGGTGCATAACAGGATAAAAAATAAATGAAAAGAAACATCTCCCTATCTCTGTCCATAACCTGCTGACATGATTCTCCTGGGATCAGGTAATATTATGATTACTTTATTTCTTTAGTACAGGATAATAACTAGTCCTTGTAGCTTATCTCTTTTAATCTTCCTACTGAAAGTGGTGTGTTTGCATGATTTCTAGAAGAAAGCAAGCATCAAGTCTTTGATAGCCCTATCAAAGTTTGAGGAAAAAGATTAGAGAGAGCAGAACCAAGGAAATGGAAGGGAAAGTGAAGTTCTGCATCTTACGGTGTCTACCTGATACCTAAGGAGTTTTGCCCTGATCTTCCCTTGACAACAGTATTTTTATCTTGACCGCGAAGCTCTGATGAAAGAATAAGTCCAGATCAATTTCATTATTTTGGAAAAGATGGTGAGGGAAAAAAAAAAAGATTTACTTGGAAATAATCTGTTAGTGGTCACTGCTCTGCAGGAGAAAGATGATAGAAAACAAGCTTACTGTTTTGAGAAGGAGGGCTACCCTGATAATAACCTGCAGATTAAACTCAAGGTGTCTTCATAATACTTATGAAGTGTGGATAACTCTGGAGTTTTCATTCCTATCATTATTTTACCAGTTCTGCAGGGCACAGATCTGTCCCTTTCTTTCAAGCCAGCGGACCAGGACCTGAGAGTGCCTTATGGTTCAACATTTCAGTGTTGCACCGTCCCCAGGGATCTCCACGTCCGTGCCTGAGCTCTTGGGCCCCATGTAGCTGCACAACATCCATAGTCAGTTGCTCTGGCATTTCCTTAGCTCCTTTATGGATTCACACAAGGGCTAATACTCCTCAGCAGGGCATTTGGCTCTCCAGGACTCTTTGCCCCCATGCTGGACTGATGCTTGCACAATTTCTTTAAATCTGTAAGCTTAGGAGGAGGTAGGCAGGTCTGGAACAAACTACTAAGAAGTCTTTAAAGAACAGTGCTTTAATTAGTTGGTTTAGTGCCATATTTTGCTCTTATTATTGTAGATTTATGTTGCAGCATTGATAGGTGACTAGGAAAGTAGAGCTTGAAACTGCTGGGAACAGTGCTCTGAAGATTTAGATGGAAGAGTATCCCAAGCCCTCTGCCACAGGCCTCTGTCTTGAAATAATAACAGCTATGCAAAATATGGGCCCTGAAAGCCTTCTGCATAGCTTTGAGGAGAAAATCTTATATGCACATATGTATATGCTCTTGAATATTGCACTTCTTTTTTAGTTGCAGGAAACTCAGCTCTTCGCTTGTGAGAGAGAAAATATGGAATCAGAAAGGTGTAGCAGAATATCTAGTGCTGTGTGTGTGCTCATTGTAACAGATTCAATAGGGTAACTATTGGCATCTTGCTGCTTGCACTGGAGAAACTTTGCATTATGTTACTCATATTTATCCTACAATGGTGGCATTAGTTTTTGCATGGTTTATAAAATATGGTTATGTTTTTTGAAGAAGCAGATGAGTCTAAAATGGCAGACTTTAAACACTAAGATGAGAAGTCTGGTATGCTGCAAACATCGTTTTCCAAAGGGCTTTGCATTTTCGATAGATGAATGTATGTGGCTTACTGGTTTTGGCAAGTTAAGTAGGATTTCATGTTCTTTATTGACTCTCTGCAGAAGACACGACTTTTCCCTCAGCAGGAGGCATCACTAGGGCCTCTATAGGAGATTTTGTATATGCAAGACTATATAGTAATGTCGATATTCATCATTGCAAGACATGGAGTATATGAAAACAACGTAAATGCGTTTTACATTTTTTTCCCCTTTAGATCTTCAAAACTATCCATTGGCTAGGATTTGGGGATTTGTTCATTAGGTGTGGTATAGCCGACAGCAGATATGGAAATAATAAGAGTCAAAAATTTGAGAAGAATCAGATACATGATAATATCAATAGAAAGATCAAACAGCACCTTAGATATAATTACTATCTGTCTGAGTAGGAAGTGGTAGCAGGATGCATTCATGATTTATTTAAAAGAGTTATTTAAAGGCAAGCAATTTATATTAGAGCACTTATTAATTTCACTGCCAAACCACACAGTTATACATTTGGAGAATTAATACTTCTGTCAGGGAAGGAAAGCAGCAAATCACATCATTGAATGAAAGCTGGAAATTTTGCAATACATCAGTGCTTATCAGAAAAGACAGTTCAATTTTCTTTCCTTTTCAAAATGGAACCAATTGTCAGCTGAAAGCTGCTATAAGCACTTCCATTCCCTCTGCAAATGTTCCTTCAAAAGGGTGACAAAACAATATGTTTTTGGCTTCAAACAGTTTATTTTTCATAATAAAAACAGCAGCATAACAAAAATCCAAGTTCTCAGAGCTAGGTTATATTATTTTTCTTGCTTCGTTCTCCCTTGTGCCTGGACTCCTGAGCAATGTGCTGTTCAGGTCTTCTCTTGCCGCAGTGGGTTGCTTGCGGACTTGATGTTTTTGCATAGAAGTATTCAGGAGAATATATGAGGGAAGCAGGAATACTTTAGTATCCCTTATTTTCTTCACCAATTGTCCCTTCAGTCAAGTAGAACAACACGCTTGTTTATATATGCTGTTTTCTTCAGTACCCAAAATACTTGCAGGCATCTCGCAGCAAACTTGCCTGCCTAAGAACAGTGTCGTTTCAGTTCCTCTAGTTCTTTGGAACTTGCATTTCGCTACTTCCCAAACACTGGCAAAGATAGGATGGTTCAGCAATTAAGTTGTAAGTAAGTCCCATGCTTTAGAATTTGGTTTTAGTGTTCTTAGACTACAAATTTCCCTTTCAACTCAGACAAATCTATAACATAGGGAGAATACCTCTCTAAACAGGATACTTTGAGGGTGAATAAACTAGTTTATCCTAAGATAATATAGTAGATGCTTTTATAAGGTTTGGAGGGAATTTCGTTAGTAGTTTTTTTAAAAAATAAATGGTATTACCACACAGCAGGTCTCAGCCTACAGTTAGTGATGAAAATATAAGCAGTGATATTTACTCAAATTATTTAGCATGAAATGACCCTTTTAAATTGTCTGCTTTCTGTAGGACAGAATTTTTACTTTGATGATTCAAATTGGTTTAAGGAGGTATTTGAATCATTAGTGCTCTCTCTATACAAAACAAAATCAACTGTTTTCCTTAAGAGCAAGCATAGCAGTAATAGCTTTATCGCATGAAGCATGTATGTTGTAACTTGATTATATTGTTGAGTAAAAGTTTCTGCAATAAAGTCTCTGTAAAGAGACCAAACTGTTTATTATTCATTTATATCATTGTAATGGATACAGCTCCAAATTATGGAGGAGAACAGTGGGTGCAGGTGTTTAGCTAGACTGTAAATCAAATCAGGTGCATCGTTTGGGGGGCATTCATGATTCCTTTTCCCTTGACATCATCACTTATAAGGCACATTGCACTGCATGTGTCTGACAAACTTGGCACTGCAGTGTTTGTTTCACTTTACACAGCTAAGGAAACTCAGTCCAAAATAACAGCTGAAGCATTTCCTATCTGTGGTTTTCTGTCCTTCTTGCAGGGTCAACGACTGCATCTTGCGAGTGAACGAGGTTGATGTGTCAGAAGTCTCCCACAGCAAAGCTGTGGAGGCCCTGAAGGAGGCTGGCTCCATAGTCCGACTGTACGTTCGCCGAAGGAGACCTATTCTGGAGACCGTGGTGGAGATCAAGTTGTTCAAAGGACCTAAAGGTGAATACGAAAATGAAGAAATCCATTTTAAACTTGATCCTTGAGCTCGCTTTTTCCCTTATTAACTGGGTGACGTGACAATAGTGAAATGCAATTTAGGCCGTTGAAAGTTAGAATTCATTGGTTGTATTTTAATTTTTTTTTTCACTTCTAAATTAAAATTTTTCCTTATCACAGTAAAAGTGGCTCATTGCTTCCAAAGCAAATGTAAGATGCAGAAATACTGTGCCCTACATTGGCCGTTTTCAGACAAATATTTTTCTTTACCAAGACTGCAACTTTCATTTAAGATGCTTTTTAAGGTGCTTTTGGATTCTCCTTTTGTTTCACGTGATTTGTGATTATCCTGCTTGTGGTTATCCTTTTATTTTTTCTTTCTCCAAAATTCCTTGGAAGTCTAAGATGAAGCCTTAACTTATCTAAATCTGCTTTATTGCTGTTAGCAGAAACTTCATTATAGGAAGTAAAATAAAAGGCTTTTTGAAAGCATAAGTATAAATTGTGAAATGTACTGCAAGAAGCTGGAAAAAAATGTTCAAGTGAAAATTTAGTCATGGTGAAGATTCCATATTATTGTTAATTTTTAATTGTATTGCTTTACCTTTTTGAACTTATTTTCTTGCGACAGTAATTTTGTTTAACACTAATTTCGAACTGATCTATGAATAACGTCCATTTTTTTCCCAGTGGTTTCCTTTATATCTCTTCTCACATGACTATTCCACTATACTTTTAGGAAGTTTTTGATGCTACTTTTAGCTATATCATGTTTAATTGAAACAGCAATAACATAATCTGCTGTTCTTGGCAAACAGTAATATACTGTAAGATCTGAAGGTAAGCTCCAAGCAGTCTGGATTCTTGTGGTCAATTATAATGTTGAGTTGACTTTCAAATGGAAAAAACATCTATGATGACGCTTTGCATGTGCATGAAATCAGAATGGTGCTGCAGTGACAGAGTTTTAAAAGCTTTGGGGTTAAGTAAGCGTGTGCTAGGACAGTCATTTTGAATAACCCAAGGCTAAAGAGCCTAAAATTGACATATCCTTTCAGGTTGTGATGAAGCAGTAAAAAATAATTCAGTGTGACCAAATCAATTGCCGAATTATGAAAATGGATGTGATAGGCAATAAATTATTAATACGTTTTTTGCAAGATGTTTGTTTTGGTTATATGCTTGGATCTATTTTAGTTATTTATCTATTATCATAAAATAGGGTGAATACTAAAAAGGGACTTTAATGACCTCGTAGAGAAACATTGCACCTTAGTGCTATAAACATCCTTTGGACCTACATTTTTATTAACATGAAGTTTACTACAGTTATATTCTAAAAATATTGACTTTTATTGTTAAAGTGTTTTATTTTATTTTATATTTTGTTGTCAAAGTGAATACCTTTTAAACTTTCAGTTCCATATTACAGAAATAAGTTTGGAAATTTTATTTACAGAAATAAGTTACAGAAACTTGTTTGGTGGAAAAAAGGCTGATGAGCTAGTTCTTTGCAAAAACAGTGTTTTTTCTCTTTGTAGTTTAGGCATTTAGAAAGCATGCTTGCATGTTTTTGATGTTCTACAAATGAAAAAGAAGAATGAAGAAAATGGTATACAGATTGATTGAAAATCTTCATAGCAATACTAATTAGCATGTCTGTAACAGTTTTTCTTTAGATATTGAAGATTCTTCCATGAAAAAAAAATATTATTGAGTCATAGAAACCTTGTGGAAGAAATTGCAAATAAAACCCAAAAATCTTGGCTGCATGTTTCAGTGCCATTTGTATGATACTTATCTGCTTGTATTTCAAGTGTTCAATTTTATGAATTGCTACTTCCTACCATTACCAAAATGTGCAGGTACAACTTTGCTATTTAGAAGCCCAGACAGATATTAGTAGAATTTTTCATTTCTCAGAGTCAAATGAAGATGTTTTAGTGTTCAGAGCAGGACCTGCAATCCATGTTCCTGCATCATTCCTTCCTTTCTTACTCATAAGATTACTCACAAAAGTGAATAAGTGAATAACAAGAAGGTTGTTCAATGCTAAGCTTACTGTAGCAAAAATATCTTTTCAAATGCTTCTTTTCCTGGCTGTGTTAATATATTACTGATTCATTCCTTACTGCACTGGGGATTTGCCACATGAAAGCAAGTTTTGTCTCCCACAGCACCGCCTAAGCTCGGAAATCGCTAGTTTCCCTGCCTATGTGCAGTAGATAATATCTACCAACACTTGAAAGAGATAAGAAATGTGCAAGGTTGTTGATATAAGTATTCTTTTATTTCATCTGAAGTATTCAGGGCAGGGGTTTTTACCAACTATGAGTCAATTAAAAAAAAAAAAAAAAGAAAGAAAAAGAACTACCCTTAATGGCTGTTAGTTTTTCCAGCTAGCAACCATTATTATATAAGACATAGGTTAATTTCACAGATCGGTTTCGAATGCCAGTTGAGTAGCAATGGCAAGAGCGAGGCCATGGCGATGTGCTGCCAAGTGAGGAAGTATCTGAAATGCTTGAGCTCTTCTGAAGGGAGGTCCCAGTGTGATTCCTTCTTCACAAAACCTTCTCCCAACATTTATGTATGATAAAAGACCATATAATTTTACTGCTTGACCTTGGGCAAAGAGGTGAATGGAGACACAAGTAAGTACTGTAACAGGAAATCAAGGTTCTAGCAGAAGTGCAACTATGTAGACGTTTATATTGGTTGGCCACACCTGATTGATTGATAATATTGGCTGATCACACAGCCACAGACTGGTTGAGGTTGGAAGGGACCTCTAGACACCATCTAGTCCAACCCCCCTGCTCCAGCAGGGACACCCAGAGCAGGGGCACAGGGTGGCATCCAGGTGGGTTTGGAAGATCTCCAGAGAAGGAGACTCCATCTATGTTCTGTGGAAGGTAATTGCTAGCTCTGATCACTGCAGGTTTTTCCCCTCTTTCATGTACCACAGAGGCTGTCTCTTGGAAGCCTCTTGTATGTGTCTCCAGTCAGACACACAGCTTTCGTGCTGTTTGGATTTGCATAGCGTTCATTAAAGGGTAGGTTTTCTGCAGGTTTTAGCAGTGTCTTTGCAGTAGCTGAAGGCTGTAACAGGGATAATGAAACTTTCCTATTGGAAATCAATGGGATTTAGACACCACCGCAAATCCTGAAGTAATATGTTTTTCTTCCTCTGTGTTAAAATATGGCAAGAATATGTTTAATGAGAATGGATCGTGTGCATTGCAGGATTTGGTCCTGGGAAGCAATCGTGCACACACTTAAATATATATATATATATATTTAAATGAGTATTTGGCTTTGTAGTATAACTTGTGAATTAGCTTTTCCTAAGACCTTGCAATGAACTGTTTATAATGCGTGAGGGGTGAATTCTGAACTTCAGCAGCTGTGTTCCCTGTGCCCCATCCGTTCAGAGATTATGGTACTCAAGCCTGTTCAATTGCATTTGACTGAAGGATTTCCAAAGAATCATAGAATCATAGAATCATAGAATGCTTAGGGTTGGAAGGGACCTCTAGAGATCATCTAGTCCAACCCCCCTGCACACGCAGGGACACCTAGAGCACGTGGCACAGGACTGCGTCCAAGCGGGTTTTGAAGATCTCCAGAGAAGGAACTCCACAACCTCTCTGGGCAGCCTGTTCCAGGGCTCTGTCACCCTCACTGTCAAGAAATTTTTCCTTAAGTTCCTATGAGATTTTTGATGTTTCAGTTTCCGGCCATTCCCTCTAGTCCTATCAGTGGCCACCACTGAAAAGAGACCATCACCGTCCCCTGCATTCCCTCCCTTGAGGTATTTATATACACTGATTAGATCCCCTCTCAGCCTTCTCTTCTCCAGGCTGAACAGGCCCAGCTCCCTCAGCCTCTCCTCATAGGGCAGATGTTCCAGGCCCCTGATCATCCTTGTAGCCCTGCGCTGGACTCTCTCCAGAAGCTCCACATCCCTCTTGTACCGTGGAGCCCAGAACTGGACACAATACTCCAGATGTGGCCTCACCAGGGCTGAGTAGAGGGGCAGAATCACCTCCCTCGACCTGCTGGAGATGCTCTTCTTAATGCACCCCAGGATCCCATTGGCCTTCCGTTGGCCTCTGGGATTTTCCGGTGATCCATGATGCCCTATCACACTGCAAATTTACCTTTTATAAAGGTAAAAAGCAAAACAAAAGCTATTGAACAGTGTGCTTTGATGTAAGATTATGGAAGTTGAAGTGGACTGGCTGATCTCTAGAGGTCCCTTCCAACCTCGACCATTCTGTGAGTCTGTTTTACACAGAGATTATGTAATACTGCGCCTGTAGGATAGGAGGATAACTAATGCCACAATGTCAAAAAAGAAAAAAAAAGGTGGGGAGGGAGATAGAGGGGAGCAAAAGATACTGATTAGAGTAACTAACTGTGGCAGTGTTGGGTTACAAACTAGGCTTCTGACCTCCGTTCTATAGCAAATGTGACATCTTAAAAGAAACACAGCTGCAGAAATTAAGCTTGGGGTATATGAAGCAGAACAGCTGAGCAGCTGAGGACCAGAAAGCTGGAGAGGAAAAATGGCAGATTTAAAGACATCAAAAAAAGAACAATATAAAGGATGGTTGATTCTGCCATCTGGAAATTTGGGTGGCTTGGGTAAAAAATCAAATAAAAGTAGGATCTTGCTCTTTATGACTATTCAAGAGTAACTATCCTTAGTGTTCAGACTGTATGGGTATTGGGAAGTGATAGCTACAGCTGCCCTTCATTTACTCTGTTTTAGATGGAAAGGCTCTGAACAAAATTAGCTGAACAAGAGTTGACATGCGTTTCAGTTTGGATTGGTGGCCTCAGTAGAAAAACCTGTGTTCTATTATTTATCATCCCGGTTTGCAATGACAAATCAAATATGTCCAGAAAGTGCAGCAAAATTCAGTGTATTTTTGAAATGTCTGATAAAACTGACTCTGCTAAAAATGTCAAAGCATATCAAAATAGTTTGTTTATTTATTTATTAAATAAGAATGAAAATACAAAAAGAAGGAATCTTATA